GGGGGGGGGCTCAACCACCAGTGTGAGCCCTGAAACACCTCTGGGGGGGCTCAACCATCACTGTGAGTCCTGGTACACCCTCCAGGGGCTCTGGGGGGGGTTCATCCCACCCAGCCAGGCTGGGAGAGCTGGGGGAGTCCCCCTGGAGAAGAGAAGGCTCCAGGGAGACCTGAGAGCCCCTTCCAGGGCCTGAAGGGGCTCCAGGAGAGCTGAAGAGGGACTGGGGACAAGGGATGGAGGGACAGGACACAGGGAATGGCTTCCTGCTGCCAGAGGGCAGGGATAGGTGGGATATTGGGATACTGGGAAGGAATTCCTGGCTGGGAGGGTGGTGAGGCCCTGTCCCAGGTTGCCCAGAGAAGCTGTGGCCGCCCCTGGATCCCTGGAAGTGTCCAGGGCCAGGTTGGACGGGGCTTGGAGCAACCTGGGCTGGTGGAAGGTGTCCCTGCCCATGGCAGGGGGTGGCACTGGATGGGCTTCCAGGTCCCTTCCCACCCCACCCATCCCGGGATTCCCAGTGCAGAGCCGGGGAGGAGGCAGAGACTCAGCCCTTCCCGGGGGTCTGGGCAGCAGCTCCCACCCCCCAGGAACCCCCCCAACCCACCCCCCCCTCTGCCCCTGCCCCAGATCTGATGCCAGAGAACGTGGTGGAGGAGAAGATCAAGGAGCTGGACCTGAACATGGTGATGGCCGAGATCCGCAGGGAGGGGAGGCCTGGAGCCCAGTGGAGGTGAGGAGGGGGGACATCCCAGGAATGTGATTCCAGCCTGGACATCCCAGTGCCAGGGGTATCCCAGTGCCAGGGGTATCCCAGTGCCAGGACCCAGCTTCCAGCCTGGAAATGCCAGGGCCCTACTTCGAGATCCCAGTGCCAGGGCTGTGCTTCCAGCCTGGAGATCCCAATGCCAGGGCGCTGCTCCCAGCCTGGAGATCCCAGTGCCAGGGGTATCCCAGTGCCAGGGGTATCCCAATGCCAGGGCGCTGCTCCCAGCCTGGAGATCCCAGTGCCAGGGCCGTGCTTCGAGATCCCAGTGCCAGGGACCTGCTTCCAGCCTGGAGATCCCAGTGCCAGGGCCCAGCAATCCTTCACATCCCTCCTGCCTTCCTTCTCCCAGGTACTCAGAGGTTTCCTTCCTGGAGCTTGACAAGTTCTTGGAGGATGTCAGGTGGGTTGGAGGTGGTTCTGGCCGGGCTGTGTCTGCCCAGCTCTGCTCCCAGCTCTGCTCCCATCTCTGTTCCCATCCCTGTTCCCATCCCTGTTCCCATCTCCGTTCCCATCTCTGTTCCCATCTCCATTCCCAGCTGTTCCCATCCCTGTTCCCATCCCTGTTCCCATCCCTGTTCCCATCCCTGTTCCCATCTCCGTTCCCATCTCTGCTCCCATCTCTGTTCCCTTCCTTGTTCCCTTCCTTGTTCCCTTCCTTGTTCCCTTCTCTGTTCCCATCTCTGTTCCCATCTCTGTTCCCATCTCTGTTCCCATCTCTGTTCCCATCTCTGTTCCCATCTCTGTTCCCATCTCTGCTCCCATCTCTGCTCCCATCTCAATCTCTGTTCCCATCTCCATTCCCATCTCTGTTCCCATCTCTGCTCCCATCCCTGTTCCCATCTCTGTTCCCATCTCTGTTCCCGTCTCTGCTCCCGTCTCTGCTCCCGTCTCTGCTCCCGTCTCTGCTCCCATCTCTGCTCCCATCTCTGCTCCCATCTCCGTTCCCATCCCTGTTCCCATCTCCATTCCCAGTCACTCCCATCTCTGCCCTGGGCTCCCCCGGACCCTGGATCCAGTCTGGGCACACAGGGAGTGTCTTTCCCCCCCTCAGAGGTGCTGGGTGTGTTGTCCCCTCCTTAGTGTCCCCTCCGTGGTATCCCCTCCGTGTTGTCCCCTCCTTGTTGTCCCCTCCATGGTGTCCCCTCCATGATGTCCCTGTCCTGCCCATCCCCGCTCCGTGCCCTCCCAGTGCCCCTTGCAGTGCCGGTGCTCAGCTCCTCGTGCCCCCCGTGTGTGCCCCAGGAACGGGATTTACCCCCTGATGAACTTCGCCGTGTCCAGACCCCACGCGCTGCCCCGGGTGCTGTCCCAGCCCCAGGAGGATCCCCAGAAAGCCAAGACTCCCACCCCGGAGCCCTTCGACGTGGAGACCAGGAAGGTGAGCTCGGAGCCGGGAGCGGGGGCTGCTCTCCATCCCAATTCCCTGCAGGAATTGCTCCCCTGGCATCCCGTTATCCAGGGGAGAGCTGGGAGAGCCCCAGGGCTGCAGGAATTGCTCCCCTGTTATCCCGTTATCCAGGG